GAGATTTCCATACGGAGGCCCGACAATGGGATTCTCCCCTTTGTCCCAGGCAGAGATAAAAGAGCTGGGAGGCGGCTTGCCCAGGAGGGCGGCATCAGCCGCCTTCCCCTCACAGGCATGGAGACTCCGTAGAGCTGTCCCTCCTTCCCTGCCCCGTCCCACCCCCAAGCTGTGTTTGGTCCAGCTTTCCCCTCCTCCTCTGGTAACAGAATCCAGAATGAGTATTTCTGAAGGACCTTGGAGGTGTAGCAGGGCACTCTTGTGGAGCGGAGGTGGGAGGTGCTTACGTTGTGCGGTCAGGGCCCCTTTCCAGCCTACCCTGTGTAAAATTTATTTTAAAGGGCTCCTAGTGAAAAAGAGAAAAATATGAAGTCCACCCATCGAAACCAATTATCTCAATTGACAAATGAACAGAGTGAAGCTTAGAGAGGTTAGGTTTCCGGAATACTTATGGTCATACAGTGAGTCCGTATGCCCACATCAGGGTGTCTGCTCAGCCTGGGGGTGGCAGGGTAGGGGTGGGCTGGCAAGGGCTGTTGCATAAGACAGACACTCAGAGGACATGTGGGCAGCAAAGCCATGGATGAAACCGTCCCTTGAGGGTTTTGGCCAGTTGTGATGCCTAAAACATTTCCTTTGTGATCCATCCTGGAAAACTTCCTAACACATTTTGTTTCATGCCACTGACTGCAATTCCCCACATGTAACAGGTCTCTTCCCACTTCCTGAGGGGAGGGGTTTTAAGGACATATTTACTTACCTTTCTACCCAGGGGTTTTCCTATAATTCTTTATTGATCACCTATGCCTTTGAAGGACTGTGCTGTGAGGTGGAGTCATGTTGGGGTCCAGCTTCCTTAAATGTACAAAGATTCTTAAACTTCAAGAGTCTTCAAGAAAGCTGCTTCGGAAGAAAGACCTTGCTCCCCAAACCAAGTGTTTGCAGATAGTGTTTTGTTTTCTTCCATCCAGGTCACCACCAGGGAAGGCCACAAGATGCAAATAAGGAACTGTCTTCCTGGCTTGGGGGTGTGTGTGGTTGTGAGAGTTTACGAGAAAGGGACCGCTCCACTTGGGCTGTTTTACAAGTGAGAGGACACAGATTGTCCTGTCTGGTGAGCAGAGGGGCCATGGGGATACCCCCAGGGGTAGGTGCTTCCACTTGCAAGTTTGAAGGGTAAATATACAGCACTTGGGACATAACCCCATTCCCAGGTCAATATAGAATTATGCTTCCATGTTGTTAGGTGTGGGAGAGTTCTCACTCATAGCAACCCAATGTTGCTGTGAGAATGAAACACTGCCCAGTCCTGTGCCATCCTCACAACTGTTGTTGTGTTTGAGCCCACTGTTGCGACCACTGTGTCAGTCCATCTTATTGGGGTCTTCATATGTCCATGGAAGTAAGTGCTGGTGTACATGGCCTTGGCTTCTTCTTTGGTGGCTAAAAACAAAGAACTGGAGTAGGGAAGCAGTGCTTACAAGTGGTTAAGGGCATGGGCTCTGTAGTCGGACTGCTGACGTTTGTTTGAATCCTGGCTCCATTACGTAACAGCTGTGTATTAACCTCCCCATATTTCAGTCTCCTCATCTGCAAAATGGGAGGATGGTAGTTGATGATAGTATTGATTTCATCAGGCTGGTTCTGCCACCAGTGCCTAGGGTGTTGGGGGAATAGCATCATCTGTCATATCAGAGCTGGAAGTAACCTCCCTCACAGCACATTCACCAACTTCTCCCAGGCCCAAGGGGGAATCAGCTTGTGTAGGGTCACTCAGCAAGCCTTGGGCTCTTAATCCTAACGTTTATCCTACTTTGTACCCCACACTTGGACCGTGCACTTTTTACATAATCTTTTTTAATCCTCACAGCCACACTCACACATACTACGTCCTTTAACCAATGGAGAAACTGAGGTTCAGTGAGGTCAGGCTATCTGACCAGGGTCATACAGTGAGTCTAAATTCAAACGCAGGTCACCCTGACTCAAAAGTCCACATTTGTCCTCAGGTCCCCGAGGCCTTTCCTCACTTCCAGCCCAGCTGATGTAGGGGAATGAAGTGGGGCCTATGACCCTGGAAGGCAGGAGGACAAGGCCTGGATGGATCCCTCTGTTGGGAAGGACAGTAGGAGGATCCTTTCTGGAGGCCCATGCAGAAGGCTGAGTGGCAGGAGCATGTGGGTTGGGCCAGAGGGAGACCTCATAACTAGGTGTCTTTGTGCTGGAGCAAGGGAGCTGTAAACCAGAATGTGCAGCGATGTTGTAACTGGCCTGTAACTCCATCCCTGAGTGGGGGAGGGGAGGGGCGGGCCTGGGTCTGTCAGGAAGCACCCAACTGAGACTGCCCTTCAAGTGCCTCTGTGTGTGTATGTGTGTGTGTGTGTAGGGCACATGTGCATATGTATATGTGCATGTTGCTGGTGATATGTGCATGCATGCTGGGGTGAACCTGGGTTCACATGAACCAACATTCTCAGCTTAAGTAAAGTAACCTACCTCCTTCTCCCCCTCGTCCTTGGGCATTTAGTTGAGTAATGACTAGACCTTTGTTCTTTACTTGGAAGGGGTTAGAATCTTGAGATTCATTGCTAGGAGTTAAGTTTAGCAAAAACCTAAACCTGGTAATACCACCAGAGGACCTCTGGAGATGCCGTATTGCCGAATGTGGTCATGATGCTTTTAAAGCAGCATGAAGGAGAAGGGGAAGAGACCTGGTCAAGGGAGGTCTTTTTGAAGATGGGAAAGAATGAAGCTTCCTGGGAGGGGGCAGAACACAGTCGAGAGGAGGGAGAGCTGACTGATGGGGCAAAGGCTGAGGATCCAGAGCTGTCTTTACTGTGTCTGTTTCTCTGGGTGGGGGCATTCTTCTTCCTCAGCATGCCCAGTTTAATATGCTCAGGGTCAATGCTATCACCATCTAGTGTCTGCTCTCCACATTAATGAAGGAATCAAAGCACAGAAAAAAATAAAGAAAAAAAGGGTCCATCTTTGGGGTCCATGTAATAACACAATACTTACATTAGCATAATTTTGATGTTATATCATACCTATACGCTGCAGCAGAGCTTAGAACTATTTATGACTTCTGATGTCCTATGAAATCACCCTCTTTGACACCAGGTACCGGTTCTTTGGGAATCTTTCTCAGCAGGATCTCAAAAGCTGCACATCTGGCCCCCCGCAGACTTCACAGTCAGCTCTGCTAGTCTCTGCTCTGCCATCTGCCATTAGTGGTCGCTATCACACTAGTGCCTAAGGCATCTGAAATGCTAACCAGAAGGCTGGAGGCTCAAACCCACCAGCCATTCCTCAAAGGAAAGTTGGGCAATCTACCTCTGTAGTGATACCGCCTCAGAAACCCAAGGAGGGGGTCACTATGAATGGAGTCCAACTTGACGGCTGTGAGTTTGTGTTATTTTTGGTATTACACTATCACCTCCCAGAGAACTCATCTACCTTCCTTTTTAAACTAAGTCTGTATGGCTCATGCCTTGCTGAGGGCAGTGGGGATGATACACACACACACACACACACACACACATACGTATTTATATTTTAAACTGCCCTTTCCCACTGACATCAGTCACAGCCATAGGAGGCAGTGAGACTCAGCAGAGGTAGGGATACTGTCAACAAGCCCATTGGAACCATGTGCCTGGATAGTGCTGTTCCCCAGGCCCTGAATCCCTTTGAACAGTGTTTTGGTTCATGTCTTGACTGGTGCTAGGGGACTGCGTAAGAAATAGCTGTGGAACCTTTCTGCTGTGTTGACTACACTGATACTTAGGAGAATATTGGTTATTACATCAGAGGTAAAAAAACAAAACAAAATTCTACGATCTGTATGTCAGGAAAGTATTTGCTTCTTTTGAGTAATGGTGGTGTTTTTAACTACTTTATTTGACTACTGGGAAGTCACTAATTTGTGATGCATTTTCTATACTGTGCTTTGTTGTTTATTTTCTCCTGTCTTCTCTAGAACATGATTTGTCAATTCTAAATAATCTTTCTGTATTGAGTGTATTTTTTTAAAATTTAATTTTGTTGTTGAGAATATACACAGCAAACCATATACCAATTCGGCTCCTTCTACATGAAGTAGCACTGACACTGCCTACGTCACAGTCTGCAATCATCCTCACCCTCCTCTTCTGAGTTGTTCCTCCCCCATTAACACAAACGCACTGCCCGTATTACGTGCAATGCGGTGAGACACATTTTGGGAAGGAGCAGGTAGCAGCTCCTGCCCTAGGCACACAACCAATAAGCTAAGTGCAGAGCTGCATCTGGAACTCAGGTGCTCTGACAGCCTCAGGCAGAGGTGAAAAGAACCAAGTGGTAGGGCAGTGAACGTTTCTGGGTCAGCCTCTGGGGTTTCCCAGCAGCTCTGACTTTAGGCCCAAAGGGGGCCTTGGAATCTCAGAGAAGTCTGGCGTGAACAGAGCATTGAGAATTCAAAAGGCTGGGCCACTAGACCAGAGGTCCTGGGCTGGCCTCACTCATCTATCTAACGCTAGTTTACTAAATAAGTCCCTCTCTGGGTTTGGCAGGTCCTTCCCCTTAGAGCTGCCCATGTGGACAGCCTGGGGTGTCCTGCCCATTGCCTAACTCTTCACTTCCTTACGCCTAAGAGTAAGGACCATGCCGCGGAGAAGGCATGGCTGGTGTGGCCAAGGTAGAATAATAATCTGCCTACAAGGTGGAGTTTGGGCCTTTCCAAACATATGCAAGGAAGTTTCCAGATCCCTCTTGGCTCCAAGGAAAAATATTTTCAGATAACTTCAATCAGATAACTTTAACAACATGTGGGGCAAGTATTGGGTATTTGGTGTCTGGAGGAAGGGTGTCCCAGGAGAGTGAAGGGTAGGTGCTGGAAAACAAGCCTGTTTCTAGCTGCAGTCTAAGTGGGTTGGCCTGTGGTTAGTGGTCTGTGCGTTCTCAGAGGCTCTGAGGGACCTCACCAGCCAATTTGCTGTCTCTTGCCCACAGCGCTGTCGAAGATGCACTGGACACCGGAACACGCCCAGCCCCTCAACCAGTGGCCAGAGCAGCACCTAGACGTCTCCTCCACCACCCCGTCGCCAGCCCACAAGTTGGAGTTGCCCCCTGGGGGTCGCCAGCGCTGCCATTATGCTTGGGCACACGATGATATCTCCGCCCTCACTGCTTCCAACCTTCTCAAGCGCTACGCGGAGAAGTACTCAGGTGTCCTAGACTCGCCCTACGAGCGCCCCACACTGGGCGGCTATGGCGATGCCGCTTTCCTCAACGGTGCCAAGGGGGACCCCGAGCCCTGGCCAGGACCGGAGCCACCCTACCCCTTGGCCTCACTCCACGAGGGCCTCCCGGGAACCAAGTCGGGCAGTGGAGGCGGTTCCGGAGGCCTGGGAGGCTCCCCAGTTTTAGCCGGCAACCTGCCTGAACCCCTCTACGCCGGTAATGCGTGCGGGGGCCCGTCGGCGGCACCAGAGTACCCGGCGGGCTATGGCGGGGGCTATCTTGCGCCGGGCTACTGCACGCAGACTGGGGCTGCGCTGCCCCCGCCACCCCCGGCCGCGCTACTGCAGCCGCCGCCTCCGCCCGGGTACGGCCCCTCGGGGCCTCTGTACAACTACCCCGCTGGGGGTTACGCGGCGCAGCCGGGCTACGGGGGCCTCCCGCCGCCGCCGGCCCCCCCGCCGGCCCCCTATCTGACCTCGGGCTTGGCGGCGCCTACTCCTCTGCCCGCGCCTGCCCCACCCCGGCCGGCGCCCACCTCCTACAGCTTCCACGCGGCGGCTCCAGGTGCAGAGGCCGGGGTCTCGCTGAAGCGCAAGGCCGCCGACGAGGGCGGAGAGGGCCGCTACCGCAAGTACGTCTACGAGCCCTCCAAGGCCCCCGCGGCCGACGGCACCTCCTACCCCGCCGCGGACAACGGGGAGTGTCGGGGCAACGGGTTCCGAGGGAAGCCAACTGGAACCGTGGAGGAGGCGTCGGGCAAGTACGGGGGTGGCGTCCCCCTCAAGGTCTTGGGCTCCCCCGTGTACGGCCCGCAGCTCGAGTCTTTTGAAAAGTTTCCGGAGCGGGTTCCGGCGCCGGCTCCCCGTGGGGGCTTTGCAGTGCCGTCTGGGGAGGCTCTCAAAAGCGTGGACCCAGGAGCCATGGAGTTGGTGACGAGCAAGATGGTGGATTGCGGGCCCCCGGTGCAGTGGGCGGACGTTGCGGGCCAGGGGGCGCTCAAGGCAGCGCTGGAGGAGGAGCTAGTGTGGCCCCTGCTAAGGCCGCCCGCTTACCCTGGCAGCCCACGCCCGCCACGGACAGTCCTGCTCTTCGGGCCACGGGGCGCCGGGAAGGCGCTGTTGGTTCGCTGCCTCGCCACTCAGCTGGGCGCCACGCTGTTGCGCCTGCGCGGCTCGACATTGGCAGCGCCGGGCGCGGCCGAGGGCGCGCGCCTCCTCCAGGCCGCCTTCGCGGCTGCGCGCGGCCGACCGCCTGCGGTGCTCCTCATCAGCGAGCTGGACGCGCTTCTTCCAGGCCGGGACGATGGCGCCGCCGCCTCGGGTGCGCTGCAGGCGCCGCTCCTAGCTTGCCTGGACGGCGGCTGCGGCGCGGCGGCTGACGGCGTGTTAGTGGTGGGTACCACCTCGCGGCCTTCGGCTCTGGATGAGGCGACCCGCAGGCGTTTCGCTCTCCGCTTCTACGTGGCGCTGCCGGATAGTCCGGCTCGTGGGCAGATCCTGCAGCGGGTGCTGGCCCAGCAGGGATGCGCGCTGGGCGAGCAGGAGCTCGCGGCTCTGGTGCAGGGCACCCAGGGCTTTTCAGGGGGCGAGCTGGGGCAGCTGTGCCAGCAGGCAGCAGCCAGAGCGGGCCTCCCGGGTCTGCAACGCCCGCTCTCCTACAAGGACTTGGAGGCAGCATTAGCCAAGGTGGGCCCTAGAGTCTCACCCAAGGAGCTGGACTCGTTCGTGGAGTGGGACAAAATGTATGGCTCCGGACACTGATGGCGCGCTGGGGAGGGCGCGGGAGCCGCGGTCCCTCCCTCCCTCCCTCCCCGCCTCATCCGCTTGGAAGGGTGTCATGAAGCAAACAGGCTGAGATGGTGCTGGAGTGGTGAATGTGGGGTGGGGAGGGGTGGGACGGGGTGTGCCAGTGGATTTCTTTTTTCGTGGGAAGGAAAATGGTTCTGCTAGGCAGATAGATGCCATATGCGCCGTGTACTCAGGTTTTTCCTATTTATTGTGGACGGGAAGCTCCCCTCGAAGACGGGACAGATCCGGGATGGCCTGGCACCCGGGGCCTAAGGAGCTCCTGCTCTCTCGCCACAATCCTTTTGTCTCCTCGCAATCTGAATGACTCCCCCCCACCCCCGTCTCTTTCTCTGCGTTCGCCTGGTTTTCGCTCCCTATCGCTTTGTCCCCGAACCCCCCCATGCTCGCCCCATTTCTCTTTTGCTCCTCCCTCCCTCCCCCATCTCTCCATCTATCATCCTCTGTGCTTCTGTCTCCATCCAGTTCTCTTCAGTTCTCTGTGTCTTGCTCTCTGCGCGCATAAACGCCTGTCCCTGCCTTCTGTCCCTCTCGCATTCAAAGGCTGCAGTGCCCCTTCACAGGAGATCTGGAGGTCCAGGGGTGGAGGAGGAGGGGGTAGGGAGTTCCCTCCACCCCCTTATCCCTCACCCAGCTGAAACTTTGGGTCTAGGGTGGGGGTGGGGAGTCAAGCAAAAATGAAAAAAAGAAGAAAACACCCAAAGGTTTTTTGTTTGTTTGTTTGCTTTTGATGGGAATTCCCAGAAATGTAGTTTGTTTAATATTGTAGATCTCTTATTTTTGTAAGATGTGTAGAATTTGCTGTTTTTCTTTTGACAACTCAGGAAGAAACTGACCTCAGAAAGAATGTTAGACTTTGGCTGCTCTCCTGTGTGTCCCCCCTCCCCCCTAGGGGAGCAGATTCTCCCAGAAGACTTAGAAAGTGATACTTGTGGGGAAAGGGAGAGGAAGACCCAGGGGCCCCAGTCAAACCCCTGCCATCCCTGGGACAGAAGTGGAATGTATTTCTTGGGCTTCCTCCCCAGGTCCAAGGTTTTAGGCAGGAGTGTGGGGGAGTAGGGTGTTGGACTTGAGAGAGCAAGTCTTACTCCTTCCTGCTGCTCTCCCTGATGGGCCCCACCCTCAGCCCAGTATTTTCTGTGGTGGGTTTTGCAGAATTGGGGATGGATACTCTTGTTCACTTCTTGCCCTAGACTCAGAAAATCGGGGAATGGAGGGGCCTGCCTGGGCTTCCTAGCTCCAAATGGGAGGATGACCCAGGCAGAGTCCCCAGAAAGGTCATTTCATCCAGCCCCTGATTTGGCAGAGGTCCCTTATAACTTACGCTGAGAAGATTCCTTTGGGAGGGAAGACTGGTCACGACTGACCACAGACCTCACACTTCCTTGCCTGCTGTTTGCAGGGAGAGGCTCTGAGGAGTGAGTGCAGCCCCTACAGATGAACGTTTTCCAGGGAAGTGTGCCACCTCCGTTCCCCTAGAGCCCTAGTTCTGGAGCTACAGGCGGGGAGAGCGTGAAGGGGCTGGGCAGGCTGTTTTCCCCTGACAGTTTATCCTCAGGCCCATCCAAACTTTTTACCAGAAGCCCAGGCTTGGAGGCCCTTCCCTCTCAGAACCATACTCTTCTTCCCACCAACTTTCCCTTGAGGGGACTTCAGCAGTTTGCCCCCACCCCATGTCACAACTCATGAGCTTTGGTCCAAAGAGGGGGACACACTCTCACTCCTACCCCTTTTCTCTCCCACCCCAGCCTTGCTTCCTGTCCCCTACCTGCCCCTGCAGCTCCCAGAGTCTCTGTGTCACCTCCCACTCTTGGCTGGGAGGGTGTCCTTGGGGGACATTTCAGGTGCCAAGGTGCTGAAGGCCTGTGCTGGGCGCGGAGTGCTCGCAGGAAAGTTGCTGTTTTTTCCCTTTTCAGCCTTGGCCTCTTTCTGACTCTCCTCTCCTTGGAGCTAGCTGATTGCAGGCCTCTGTTGCCTCTGAAACAGTGGGCCATAGGGTTTTGGTTGTGATGACTGACCTGTGAAGGAAGCAGGGAGTGAGGGGGTTCTCTCAGGTGTGTGTATGTGTATGGGGGGAGGGGGGAGGGCTTTAAGGAAGTGGGCTGGGACCCCAGATGTGGAGGTGGGGAGGAGCTCACTGACTGAGACCCAGGGTCCCCCCAGCCACCTATACTGGGCTCTTCTTGTTCCTCAGGCTTGGGGAACTTTGCACAAGGAGACAGCCCCCAGGCTACTGGCATCTACCTCATGGACACTGGGGTGGGGAGGGGAAGGGCAGGTCCAGCTCTGGCAATGTTGGGGGGGGCATACCAAAGAATCCAGGGGCAGGGAGTAGGGGAGGGCCAGACTCAGCGAGTTGGCCCTTTCCTTTGTCTACCCAGATTGGGGTTGGGGTCCCCTCCTCCAGCTGTAACCATTTCTACCTCATTTTGCTGCGTGTTGTACATGGACGTATTTATCTCCTGTCTGACGATGCTCTGCAGTTGTGGTCTGTCTACCTCAGAAGAGACTGTATTTTAAAAGAAAGTATTACACAGTATTAAAGTAATGACATGTGGTTTCCAGAGAATTTCTTGGGGGTAGTGGATGTGGGGAGCTCCCAGGAGGTTGCTTGGGCATCTGGGTCTACTGGGGTCCAGGGTATGGTTTTGTGGGTATTTCTGTTCCTTCAGCAAAAAGTTATTACAGGGCCCCTGTTACTCACTGTGCCACAGCGACTGCCTTCCAGGTGCTGCAGCATAAAAAGCCACAGTCGAGCTCTGGAAAGCCCTGGATGGAGATGGCCTTCCTGCAATTCTGAGCTCTCAGGGTCAGAGCTGGGGTGGACTCATTGTGTCGCCAGAGCCCTGCAGTGTGAGGGGCTGAGAAGGGCTCATGTGTTTGTTGAATGAGTGAGTGGATGATCCAGTAAACGCCTGGAGGAAAGGGGTTCTGACAAGGAGGAAGGTTCGTTCAGAACCTGGATAGCAGCTCATGTTGTGGAGAGCCAGCGTTGTGCTTGTATCTCCCTGGGGGGGGGGGAGTAGGGAGAGGGGACAGGATGTGGAGACAGCTGAGTTCCAATCTTTAAGGTCACATGGTGCACCACCATCTGTCCAAAACCCCAAACCAAATTCTGACATCAAGTCGAGTCTGACTCATAGCGACCCCCTTCAGGTTTCCTAGGTGGTAAATTTACAGAAGTAGATTGCCCAGCCTTCCTTCCTCGGAGTGGCTGGTGGTTTGAACCATCAACCTTCTGGTTAGCAGTCAAATGCCTTAGGCACTATGCCACCAGAGCTCATTATGTGTCAGTCCTCAGATTATCCATGGCAGCACGTCATAAACTGGGAGACTGTGAGAAGACAAGGAACTTCTTGTTGAAAAAGCACGGTGGAGATGCCCGCGAGAGGTGTAGACCCGCAACTTCTGAGGCCTCTGATGCACTAAGCAAAATTGTTGAAAATGCACAAGAGCTCAGGGGGAGCAGTGTACGCAGGCTTCCTCCTGAGGGTGTACCACAGGCTTTCAGGAGGCAGAACAAGGGCACGGAGAGACCCTGCAAAGCAAATAGTTTCTCCAAGAGAAACAATTGTGGGAATGCCTGGATATTGAGGCTCCATGGCATTGCCCCAGGGTTCAGCAACCCCTACTAGGCCCTTGGAGGCCCAGACTCCTCCTTGCATTCCTCTGGTTTGCCTGAAGATCTGCTTCTGAAAGGTAACAGCCTCAAACACTCTGTGGAGCACAGTTCTGTGCACACGTGGGGTCGTCATGAGTCAGAATTGATGGCAACTCTGTGCAGTCACTGCGTGACACTGAGGATACAGAAATGGTTAAGGAGGGGGGACCACATCAAATTCATCCATTCATCCTTAGAGTCCCACATTTTGCATCATATCATACATAGAGGACACAGGTGAGTGCCCTAATATAGGATGCACAGGCTATTTCAAGAAGGCCCAAAAAAGACCCCAAGTCTTGTGATGGCAGGGGTGGGGTGCCAGGAAAACATCCTGGATGAGACAGGGTCCAGCCCGACAAAGCTACGGAGGTTGGAAAGTGCACCAGCTGTGTGGAACCCTGCTGCAAACAGCGATCTGTTACCAGAGTGGAAATTGAAGACAGGAGTGGGGAGAAACTGAAAGAATCAGTTGGGACTAGACCACCGGGGCATTCCACACCCTGTTAAGAGCTGGGGCTCCACTAATACAGCCTGGGGGGAGTGGTGAGAAGGAAAGGGGTGGCTGTGGACAGGGTCTGAATTGCAAATTAAGAATTTGTACATTCACACATGAATTCAAATATTTACTGAACACCCTTTATACACTAGTTGCTATGGGGATGATAGATGGCTCTTGCTATTTAATGGAGGAGACAGTAAAAAGGCAGAGCTGAAGTATCAGGATATGGGAGCAGATAGGAGGAGTACTGTGAAAAGGACATGGAGGTGGCAGCTCCTGACCTCTAACTGCACAAGAGGGAGACGAGTCCCTATCACCAGCCCAAGGCTTATTTCTATGAGGCCAGACATGCCACCACCCTCCAGCCTTTTTGCCAACTCTGAAACCAGACGTCCCTCCCATGGCACTCACTACTCTGTTGAGTTCGATAATTTGTTGGAGTGGCCACACAGAACTCAACAGACAATATTCATGATGATGGAGTTAATTAAGGAAGTAACACGTTACGATTCGGGTTCAGAAATGCCCTGCTCTGTCCGGCAAGTGTTGTTATTTGCTGTCAAGTTGGACTGACTCATAGCGACCCCTCCTTGGGTTTCCGAGACACTCCTCGGAAGGAAGGTTGGGCAATCCTACTTCCGTAGTGATACTGCCTCGGAAACCCAAGGAGGGGTCGCTATGAGTCGGGGCCGACCCGACGGCACATAACAACAACAACAATCACTACAGGAGTAGATTGCCCAACCTTCTTTCTGAGGAGTGGCTGGTGGTTATGAACCGCCAGCCCTCTGG